GCCCCCCCCCCCCTCCCCGTGCTCCTGAACAAGTGATCGTCCCAGCACCCAGCTGCCTCCACCCTGTGCACAGATTAGTGGGGCATGTGCTTCTGCTGGGGTGCAGACGGGAGCCCCCCCTTGTGCCCCAGTCTCACTACCCAGCCTAGCTGGGGCCCCCTCACCCCAGCCCTGCCCCATCCCTCTCTCTCGCTTAGTGTGGTGCTGAGTTAAATTGCAGGCCAGGTTCTACCATGCACCACCCCCTCCCCCCACACACACAGACTGACCTGCTGGTGGGGGGCGTGTTAGATCCTGGGCTGAAATTTAATTCAAAAAATGATCTTCCACTGAAAAAGGTTGGAGACCACTGGTCTAAAATCATTTTAATCTAAAGGATCAATATTTGTGTTTTTGAACAAGTTGGCCAGTCTGGTTTTCAGTGAATTGGTGTTTCTCTTAAGAAAGATCAGTGCTGCAGTGGGTATCAATTAGCATCTTTTTTTGAGAGCCTCTGAGGCTGAGGACAGACATTACACAAACCAGTTTAAGTGATTAGAAACTGGTTTAAACCTGTAACAGAACATAAATTCAGTGCACATAAACCAATTTCAAAATGGCTGAAACTGGTTTAAAATAATCCTGGTTGAATGTAGCATCGATTTTTACTGATTTGGATCAAACCTTCTGCTCCATATCATCAACAGATGCATGCACTGAACACCCTTCCTTGCTTCAGAGTGCTGCCTTGGGGGCTGGCAACACTCCAGCCCCTTCGGCAGCCAGTGGGGAAAAGCCGGGGATAGTGCAGGCGGGGTGGAGGTTTACACCCCTCCCTAATCAGAGGTCCTGCCACGGCCTGGCCATGCCCCCCGCCTCAGCTCAGCACTGTAGAAGGGAAAGGAGGGCTGCTTTAGTGCCCCCTGACTTCTAGCCTAAGCCACTGCAGGCATGTGCCTGCATTCCTTCAGTCCAGAGGGGATGTCTGACGGTTACAAACTGGTTCAGCCTAGCCAGGTTAGACTAACCTGCAAAGATTGAATCAATTTAAGCTCAGGCTGTTTGAATGTCTGTCCCTAGCCTGAGAGACTAAATGAAGGCAGTTAATCATACAAGTCAAAAGTGACAGAAAGTAGTGGAACATGATCTGTGCTTCCTCTGGGCCTATTGCATTGATAAACAGAACTTAGTAAGATATTGGTTGTTTCATCTCTTCTGGCCTATATTTTTTGTTGATAATGGAAATGATTTGGGCCATGGATTGTTCATTACTATACTTCTACACAGTTCCTCATACAATAGAGCTCTGATTGCAGGTCAGGCCTATATATACTACTGCTTTATTAATAATAACAACAACCACCACTGCCTTGTGCTTGTGGCATAGGAATGGAAGCTGAAATACCAGGCTCTTGCATAAATTTCCTGTGTGACCTTGAACACATCAGTTATTTTTTGTGTTCATCTCCTGTTAAGATGTGGATAGTACTTTCCTCTTGGGGCCTTATGAGGCTAAATCACTTAATGCTTGCAAAGCACAGCAGGCTTCTCAATGAATGATGCTATAACCATGTAAATCAACTGTACCAGAATATTTAGTGATTATTCATTGGATTTTATCACTGTTTTTCTTACAAATCTGTCTGAAAATGCCAATAGTTAGAAATGTATATCCTCCTATTTCTCATTGTATCACTCCAGGCCTTTTCCACAATTTTCTTTGTGTATATTGACTTAAAGTACATTTTCTTTTTGGTGCTTTTCCTTGCAGGTGGCTAATGTTCCTTTTATGGATGGCGTAGTGAGGATGAAATGTGATCATTAAATTAATATCCAGTTTAACTATACAAGTCTGCATTTAGACTGAAGGAAAAATATGTGTAATTTTCTTTGCCTTTACTTTCCAGTCTTTCTCATTATAAGCAGTATCTTTGATAGCTTTATTTCTACATAGTAATTATTTTCATGATAATCTCTTTTTGTTCATATAGTATTAATATTACATTTTTTCTTCTCCACTGAAATTAATTCCAGTGACTGCAGACCAGGCAAAATATTCTAGTGCTGTCGCACGCTATGACTAATCTTAGTATTGCCTCCACTCATGCTTTATGAATCTTGGCTCACTACCAGAGCCTGAGCTTTCATTTCTCTAACAGCAGTATATGCAAAGAAGCAGTTGGCTGACACACACAAACTCACACATATGCAATTGCAGTATCAGCTCATATTTATTTTCAATAATATTAAATGTTCCTCCTTCATGTTATGAAGATGCAGGTGTGGCTCTGTCAGGGCCTACCTAGCACTGGCCTTGTGGACAAGGTTTGTTCAGCATCCTAATGAGGCTTAACTTACAGCAGAGAACTTGGGCCGTGCATATTAAAAGCTATACAAAAGGCCTAAGCTTGTTAACATGATGCTAAGGCATTTTGCATCCAAAGAGCTCGAAGGATTTTATACATATGCATTTGTTATGACGTAGGACACTGCTGTCAGATTGGGTAAATAGTATCACTTGCAACATTAGAAGGAGGAAAACTCAGGCACTGGTAGGCTGATGATTTGCCTAAGGCTGCAGAAACAAAGCAAGCAACAGAACATGCCACCTAACGATTCTCTCAGATTCTCCACTAAGGCAGCTCTCAGCCATACCTTTTAAGAAGGTAGAGGTCTTGAAAGCTGGAGACTCTATACAAATGATGTAGTTAGCCCTTAATTTGTATATTAATAATAATAGTATTAATAGTAATTTATTACTTGATTTCCATAAACCCACCACTTTCATACTACCTTTCATTCCTTTGCTCTTCCTCCCTGATGAACCATTGTTTCTCATCTGAAGTGGCTATCTGTTCCCCTCCATCAGTGCAGCTCCCCACACTCCCAGCTGTAGGTTTTCTCCCACCTCTGACTTTAACTCAAATTCTCATGTTGCCTTTAGCTCCCTTCACTCCTCCCCACCTGTTTTTTTAATCCCTAGCTCTATTAGGATTCCACACCCTTTCCAACAGCATGGGCACAGCCACAGAGCTATGCTCAGAGCAATGCCCAGTGCACTGCATCTCTCTTGCTACACAGGTTGAGGGTTGAGTTCTTGGCAGTTCACCATAGTCAGACATGGCATCATAAGGTGTCTCCAATTAGAGGAGGCTAACCACAGCCTTAGGCGGATTGCTCTTCACCAGTAGCTCTAGAGCTCCCCTAGGACTGGACTTTAAATGTCTTTCTAAAAGAGATGCTCTTATTTCAGCCACACGTTCTTGCACTTCAAGGAGGTGAAATTTTGTGGCTTGTGTTATGAAGGAGGTGAGACTAGATTATCACCACAATCATTCCATCTGGCCTTAAAATGTATGATCCATCAGGGACACCCAAATTTGGTAATGTCCTAGCCAGTCCAGGAAACTCAAAAGGTTGGCACAATGCAAAGAAGACAAGGGTTTAGTCCTGGATGTCTACGCAAAGCACTGACTCATTTCCAGAATGGCTGAGATCACAGTGGGGTAGCTTCTCTGGTCCACAAGAAACATAGGAACATTTATAGATAGATGTGCCTAGTGGGTAAGAACATAATTACAAACCTAAGGAAGGAGCATCACATTTGTTTCTATTAGCCCTGTTCTCAAGAGCTATTTTAAAAAACTTATACATGAGTTTGTCTTTTTTTTTAATTGTCAGAATTATTGGCTTTAATTCTTTGAACCAGCATGATGATCTCCTGTATCCTGTTTAAAATGTTCGGAAAATAAATTTGCATCAAAGCTGGGTTTTTTGATGCAGCCAGTTAAAATAACTTGGTAGCACTGAAATGCCACAAAAAGAAAACTGATAGGTACTGATTCTTTGATCTAGCAGTGAAACACAGCTTTACAAAGAGTAAACTCAGCTCTGATAGTGCTGCTGTCTGTATGTTAAAGGATTCTTGGTAGTAAAATCAAACAAAGAACCAGAAATTATAGTTTATTCCACGGCTAAAAATAGCCAGCTACAGCCAATAGGCATGCTGCCCAGCTGAGAGGCTTTTTAAAAGTATAGGAGTGATCTTTCACCAAGATTTGTGGATGTTTATATTAATCATAACAATATAACCAGTTTTCTTTGTTTTAACTGTCCTCCTGTTTCTTCTTTGGTTTCTTTTGATTCCTACTGAAAGTTTACCCGGCTATAATAATGTAGCTCTGTATATCCGTCTCTACACACTTCTCTACAGACCAATAACACCTTCTGTTATTATACTGATATAATAACAAAAGGGGGCCTGCCAGTCACTTTGTGCTTCCTAGAAAGTGTTGTGTATGTTCAGTCAATCACCAGAACTCTAGAAATCACAGATACTAGTATCACATCAGCACCGCACAGGATTAGGCTGTATGTTGCCTCTTCACCAGTGAGCCCCTTGATCCATGCTACTGTCATACTGCAATTACTGGAGTACCAGGAAGACTCATAGGTACCAGAGATTAAGAATCCTTATTGGTTCACTTTGTCCATACTTCTGCCAACACAGAGTTGCTCACAATAGCAAATCCTTGCACCTGATCCATTTTGTAGCAACTATTTGGCTTCTACATGAAGTGTGGAGTGATGTGAATTACAGCACAGCGGCTGTGATTGCCCATGGGGTTCGTCTGGGGTACGCTTCCTTTTCAGATGAGATAGATTCTGACTAACTGAAATGCCTGTCACATTGCATTAGAGATTTAAAGGAATGCTTTTATTTTTAAGTGATTACAAACCACTGAAAGTAGCCAGAAAAATGAAAAGGACTTGCCTCGGATAGTCTCTCCGATCCATGTTAATTAGCCTATGGCCTGGCACCTCTCTGGTTGTTTGCATTCTTTAACAGCCCTACTAAGTCAGTCTGACCAGCCTCATTCATTTCCTGTCTTCCTTTACACACATAGATCAACTTGACATCATTTCTATGGCTGAAACAACAATGATGCCTGAGGAAATCGAACTGGAGATGGCAAAGATCCAGAGGCTTCGGGAAGTCTTAGTCAGAAGAGAATCAGAACTCAGGTTTATGTAAGTACCAGCTCTTCGGGGAAATATGCTATGCAAAATTAATCAACATAGGAAGGAATACTATTTAGGGAATACTTATCTGCTTGACATTAAAACATAACAAAACAGAAACAAACAAACAAACCTCCCTGCTCCAAAGGTGATCTGTTGTTTGCAAAGGAAATGTTGGAGCTCTGCTTCTCTGAAGAGCATGTTTTCATATCAGAGTTCATATTGTCTGTGGGAGGGAGCGAGGTCTGAAAGAGCAACTAGTGGGTTGCAGGGTCAGGTGGTTCAAAAATGTAATCCAGGCTCTGCCATTTACTTGACGAATGGCCATAGGCAAATTATGTCACAAGAGATCAGCCCATGTTCTGAATTAAAAGCAGCCAGACTTGACTTTTCATAAATGGAAGACATTAAGCTATGAGTATAAAACAAGTTCTAAGAGATTAAATTAAAAATGTTACCATGGGAGAGATTTTCAAAACACAGAAGGGATTTAGGAACACTAATCCTGGTAAAGGTCAGTGGATATTAGTCCAAATCATATTGGAAAGCCCATGGGACTTGAACCCCTAACTCCCTGACAGGATTTCAAGGATCCTGTCAGGTTTCTCCTTAGTTATTCAATGGGATTTCAATAACTAAGGAGAAACCTGAGAGAGCCAACGTGAGTATTTAAGGTCAGAATTCAGCACTGTGCTGACAGGACCAGATCTTCAGCTGGTGCTAGTCAGTCCAACCCTTTGGCTAGGGTCAGACATTACACATAAACCAGTTTAAGTGATAAGAAACTGGTTTAAACCTGTACTAGAACAGACATTCAGTGCACATAAACCAGTTTCAAAATAGCTGAAAATGGTTTGAGATAAATCTGGTGAATGTAGTATCAGTCTTAACTGATTTGGGTCAAACCACTTTGTGCAATGTCTGTCCCAGACCCCTTGCTGGTTTAAGTTAAACTAGAGCCCTCCAGCACCCTGGCATGCTCTCTGGACTAAGTAGGGACCCCCGAGCGGAGACACTGGCCAGTATGGCCCTGTTAAGGCAAAGTGGGCAGGGAGGGCGTTGGTGATGCGTAGTGGGTGCACGTGCACCCCCTGAGATTGGCTGCCACTGCCGCTGCTGGTGGTGCCTGTGGGCGGTCGCCACAGAGCCAGCAACAAATAGTGCAAACTCTTCTTCTATCCAGTTTTGAAAATTGTACCATACTAGAGAATTTCACTCCAAAGCAAATGTATAGCCATATTTTTCAGCCTTTGAAAATAAAGGTTTAATACAGCTATGCTGTCAGACTGTTAACAACAATGCTGGAGTGGTATGGCTATCACTAGGGACCTACCGAAATTGCAATTTTGCAATTTTTGTAGAAAACACAATTTCAGGCAGGCCCCGTGAAAAAGCACAGGCTCCATGAAAAAGTGTGGCGTCCATGCTTTGGGTTGGCTCCCTGAGAAAGACAAAAAACCCACCAAAACTGAAATGTGGCTCCCTCTAGGGAGTCAGCAGTCCTTGTGGCTGCTGTGGCCCAGCTGTGCAGCTTGCTGGGATGGAAAAGGGGAAGGCAGCTGCTGGCATGGCAAGATGGCTGCTGCCCCACCCCTCATAACTGATTGGCTGCAATCAGTAGCGAGGGATCAAGCCACCAGGTCCCCTTGGCCAATCACAGGGGTGTGTGTGTGTGGCGGGGCACCAATGGCTGCCAGCCCCATAATCTACCCTCAAAATCAGCCAGCAGTCGCCTCAAGTTCAATAGATCTCTAGCTTTGACAAACAAGAGCACGCTTGTTTTTGTTACACCTGCTGCCAGGGAATCAAATACGTACTCTGCTCTCAGCTCCTGTCTGGACAGTGGGGATCAAGCAGAACCCTTGCCACAACGTCTGTATTGTCCTTGATATTTTATATATCAAACAGAATACAAGGAGTGAAGTAAGCTGCCCCAGTCAAAGAGTACCATAGTAGTCTGTCTGTCTTGCCTTTATATCTTTCTCTATTCATTTTTTCCTACGTGTTCTTGTTTCCAGTCTGCTCCCCAGTGTTTATGCTTAGAGCTGTTCTCAACATCCTTATTTCCTGTCAGGTGTTCAAGCAAGCAGGTGAACCCTGAAGATTTGACAGTCAGGCTGCTGAAAAAAAACTTTAGCCAACTTTGCACCATTAGCAGCCTTCCCCTGTGTCATCCATAACCTGTGTGCTTTGCCTAAGGGTACCCAGGGACATGCAGCAGCCTGAGAAACCTATTGAATGAGGAAAACTACTTTGAAAACTCATCAGCAGGCTCAGTCTCCATATTGGTTGGCTACTTGCTCCAGTGTATAATTCAAAGAATCGATGATGATTTTTAAAACCCTTTATGGTCTGGGATCTGGCTGCTCTATGCCCAACAGATAAAATCATCTGGAAGGCTCTTGCTGTTGATTCATGGGGTAAGACTATGAGATTGGCAGCAAGAACCTCTCTCAGTCCAAGGCCCCCCAACACTGGAACTTGCTTCTCTTGATAGTTTCTTAATTGGTTTTTAAAGCTTTCCTAGGAAATTCCTACCAAAGAGCAACCACAGAAACAGTTTATATACTGCTTATATACCAAGCCTTGCAATGGACCCAGATGCCTTCTGTGCCCCAACATCAATAGTTCACATCATCACTGGACTGAATCACACACTGTCTACATTGGAGAGACAGGGCTATCCATATGTGAAAGAATAAACACCAATCATCAGCTGTAGAAAGACATGCAGGCCTGTGGCAGAACACTTTAACCTCCTTGGACACTCCATTGCTGACCTCAGGGTGGCTGCTCTTAGGCAGCAAACCTTTAAACAACTATTTGAATGGGAAATTGTGGAACAAGAAATTATCCATGGACTGGATTGTGTTAAGTATGACTTGAACAAGCACTATAGATTCTTATCCCATTACCTGGATTAGCTTTTGTGACTCCTTTGTTCTTATGGGTTTATTCCTTGTTTGTTTGCCTCTCTCAGCACTGACCCCTTTCCCTCTTCTACCTCTCTCTCCCCCTTCCCTTATATTCAAGTTTATCTCTGCTTCTTATACACTGTTTTGTCCACTCCCTTTCACAGCATTTGATGAAGTGAGCTTCAGCCCATGAAAGCTTATGCTTCTATACAGCACATATATGTACACGCACATACTTTGGTTAGTCTATAAAGTGGAAATCTACCCTGCCTGCTACTTGACTTCAAACTAATATGGCTAACTACATCATTCTTAAATACACCAGAGACTACAGTGGCATAGAGGTCCAGGGGCATAGTGTAGACAGACCTTAACAGCAGCTCCACTCAAGTCAATGAAGCAATGCAAATTTCCACCAGTTGAGGAGGCTGCCCAGAGCTTTCTAACTGAAATGATTGGAAACTTTTTTCCTTTGCAGACTGCATTTGAACAATCTCAGGAAATGTCTAATAGGCTGCTGATACAACTCACTCTTACTGCAGACTTGAAATAGCTTAGTGGTAACATATGCATTGACTTCCATAATCACACAGACACTTCCTGCAGCATGCGTTTTGTCCAAAGAAATATGTGCTGCCATAAAACAAGGGACATTTGGTGAAGAGAAATCATCCAGGTTAGCATAGTGTCTAGTACTAAAATAGATAGCAAGGTCTGGTTGCCCAGCAGGCTCCACAGCCTATTAGCATTTCCTCACTCCTTTGTCTTTTTCTACAGGAAATTACACACTAGCTTCTGATTTCATAGCTAATGTAACGTACCTTCAGGCAGTTCCTTGGTTATAATCAGGGATCTGGGTTTTTTGTTCACCAAGGAAAACTGCAGTAAAACCTGCATGTTTTATAGATTTCGTAGACATTAGGGTTGGAAGGGACCTTGCAAGATTATTGGGTCCAGCTCCCTGCCCAAAGGGCAGGCAGTCAACAGGGTCAAATGATCCCAGCAAGATAGGCATCCAAGTGTTTCTTAAAGGAATCCAGAGTAGGTGCCTGCACCACCTCTGGCGGGGGGGAATCTATTCCAGGCCCTGGGAACTCAGACATAAAGAAGTTTTTCCTTATGTCCAGGCTAAAATGGTCTTCCAAGAGCTTGTGACCACTGGGCCTAGTCTTCCCATGGGGTGCCCTGGTGAACAGATGCCCTCCCAGTTCCTGATGCACACCCCCTATATACTTATAAGCCACCAAGTCACCCCTGAGCCTATGCTTTTCCAGGCTGAAGAATCCCATGTCTCTCAGCCTCTCCTCATAAGGCATACTCTCTTGTCCTCTAATCATTCACGTGACTCTCCTCTGGACTCTCTTGAGCTTCTTCACATCCTTTCTGAATTGCGGAGCCCGGAACTGGACACAGTATTCCAGCTGTGGTCTCACCAAGGCTGAGTAAAGTGGGAGGATGACTTCCTGGGTCGTGTTTAAAGATGCAGACCAAAGTTTTGTTTGCTTTGCCATCTGCGGTGTCACATTGGTGGCTCATGTTAATCTTGTGGTCAATCATGACCTCCAAGTCTCTTTCAGATGCGGTGCTAGCTAGCATAGCACTGCCGAGTATAAGTATAGTGTGGGTTCTTTCTCCCAAGGTGGAGCACCTTGCATTTCTCCGTGTTGAATGCCATCAGGTTTCGATCCACCCACCTTGTAAGTCTGTCAAGGTTGCCCTGGATTGCCAGCCTATCCTCTGGGGTGGCTGCACTCCCCCATAGTTGGGTGTCATCAGCACACTTAGCCAGTCTGCTTATAACACCCGAGTCTGAATCATTTATAAACACACTGAAGAGTACAGGTCCGAGAACAGAGCCCTGGGAGATGCCACTGGTTACAATGCACCAAGACACTTAGCCAGTCTGCTTATAACACCCGAGTCTGAATCATTTATAAACACACTGAAGAGTACAGGTCCGAGAACAGAGCCCTGGGAGATGCCACTGGTTACAATGCACCAAGATGATTTGGTTCTATCAACTATCACTCTCTGGGTCTAGAGCCAGTTCTCCAGCCATTGAACTGTGAAATTGTCTAGGCTGCAATTCCTCAA